TAAGAATTCCCCTCATTGCTCTGTAAGGTCAACAAATAACAATTTTAGTAGTATTACTGAAAGCAATGATCATAGTTAATATAAGTATAGCAGTTGATACAACCTGTGTCTCATAAATATCTGAAAGACATTTAAAGAGATAAAACCACTATCAGTAAATGTAATTGATCATACCATCTCAAAGAGGAAGACACTGAGGCATGGGATGATTTAAGAGTGTATTCAAGGTCATGTAACTACAAATGTCACAATCATAATCATGGCCAGAAAAACCATTACTCAGGTCATAGCTGTGGTTACAGATCTGTCTCAGCATCCCCGTTTTAGATTGTGCCCTGTGACTGGATGTACAATTTAGCACTTTTATTTGCAAAATTTCACTGCTTCCTGAGCCCAAGATTTGGGATGTGAGTAGAGAGAAGTTTTTTTAGCTAGTGGCAAAATCCCACAGCCTCACCTGAACAGAGAACTTGCATATTCCAACAGAGTGGACTATATGTAAACAAGAAAAATAAAAAGAAAAGAAGAAGCTTCCTGAATATCCTTAAGCAACATAAGTTGTTGCGGTTATTAGGGTTGCTCACTAGATATTTCTTCTGATCCTCCTTCTGAGAACCACATCTTAGTATTGTGCTTATTTGCTTCCATAAAGTTGATCAAGGTCATGGAACGTGTTAATGGAATGTGCACAGAAAGCATTCTATATTTTCCCTGGATGGAAACTTTTATAAGACAGTCCATCTTTTATTATGGTCTCTTCCCATTTCAGCAGGGACAGTGGAAGCCTGTGCCCAGGTGGCATCTGCAACTACCTGAGCTCTGAGAGACTAAGAGGAGTAGAGAGCCACATTGGACTTGTGTGTAAGGCCCTGAGATTTACAGGTTGTTACCATCATCATCATCATCATTCTAATGTGATTTGGCTTGTGATGTACATGCTTTTGATAACATTTGGCAAGATACTACAAGAAAGGGATGAGTTCAGAAAAGAACTGACTGTAAATACAAGGGAATAGAGAGATCCGAGAAGTTTAGCAACTTGTAGGATTTAGAGAGGAAACTGTTTTTCAAAGCAATCTATAAAAAGATATTGTGAAAATATCACTGAATATAACAAAGACCAAAGAAAACTGAGACTTGCAGCAAGGATCAAATGAAAGGAATGGCCATCGCAACCACTGTTAAAATCTCTGAGTCGATTAAGGTGTTTCAGAGGAAAGGTGTAATTAAGAGCTTGATATCCAGTAAATGCATTCAATTGCACAAAATTGCTCAGGGGGAAAAAGGACTACAATCTTGGCTTGCCCATGGAAATCTTCTAAGTTGAAGTTGTTGTAATAAGGTTACAGGAGGTGGACGGAGAGGAGGCAAGCAAACAAAGACACAGCAAATCTAAGAAATATATCCAGCAAAGAACAGTGAGAGTGTTATTGGCAGACAGAAATGAGTGGATTCAAAGAGATATGAAGCCTACTAACGTTTTAAGTGAGTGGCACTGCAAATAAATCACGGTCTATGACTGTTTGAGATTTAAAATAACACTAGAGCTCTCAAACTCCTAAGCAGCAAAGAAACTGAGAAAGATGCTCAGCCACTGAGCAGGACATATTCTCCAATGCCCACTTTTTGATGTGGCCAAGGAGGTTAATGGAAATGCAAGAGTCGCATTTCCATTAACATGAAATGGACCATGACAGGATCATGGGCCACAGAAAACAAAGGAATGTGGCCCCATCCAGGGAGCAGAAAGGGACACTAATCTGGAAACATTTCCACTGCCAGAGGGAACCATGTCACATCCCTCCAGTAGGATTTCAGAATTATGAGAGACCAATTATTGTATTTCCTCCATTCATGATTGAGAGTGTTTATTTTGATAATTCTGTGCATGTTCTTCCATATTGGCTTCTAACATATCTTTTTAGTTCAGTTTTTTAGCTCATATCTTTGATCTAAAAGGAGCTACCTCCAGATGTGATGAAGAAGTAACAGAGAATCACTCAAGGATCTGGACTTCAAGCTGATCACAGTGACGGGATGAGTTGTCCTGAGCTTTTGAGTTGAGACTTGAATTATCTGTTTTGTGTGGGAATGAATGTTTTACAAGAAGAAAGAAGAAAATAAGAAGAATTTGCCCTTAGAAAAGCATAGTATAGTAGTTATTAAGTCTGTTCAAAAATATTCCAGATTTCTCCCACCTTTGGTGCATGGAAAAAAGGTATTCGAAGCAGAGAGAGTAGCCTGTGCAAAGCCTCCTGTGCATAAAGGCTCAACTCACCGGGAATTGGAAATAAGACCAGTGGGAGGCTGTGGCTGGAACAAGTGTGAAAGTGGTCGGGGTGAAGACGTGGGCAGAAGCAGTTTATGCCAGATCTTGTAAACTATGTCAAAAATATTTGAATTGTATTAGAGGGACAATGGGGAGCCATTTAGGAGATACTGATAAGCTTATAGTGCCTGAGTTCCATTCTTTTGAAAATTATTGAATGTTAGAAATTCAAACGCTCGTGTCTGTGCCCTATGCTGTCCATAATGCAAGAATCTTTTCTATAGCTGATTGGAATTCCCATAAATCCCCCCTCCCAAATCTGTTTATTTACCAGATTTATTGAGGGTCTTCTACATGTCAGACACTCTGCAAAATTGCTGAAAGTATAGCAAGTCTCAAGTTACAATGTTCATGTGGTGTACAATGAGAATAAGAATGCTAAAAAAAAAATGATAATTCTTGTATTTGTCTACATTCTTTGAACAACCATTTTGCTTTCTCCGAGTGGGAGTAGGCAAAACTGTGAATTTTAAAATTCACAAGTTAAAAAATGTATTTAATAAATAATCCATGGGAGTCAATGGGATAAATACATGGAGCTCCTTTGAGAATGATAAAAACTGGATAGATGACAAAATATAAAGAAGAGCTCTCGTGCTTCCACTGACAAAATTCCTTACAAACCAACGAGCAGAAAGTAGAGTGAAATAGAACTGAAAGCTTGCTGCAGTTGCAGAATTTTAAGGGATTGATTTAACATTCTCTGGGCATAGTTCTAAAATATTCATGCGTGTTGGACATAATTATGTCATTTTATTGTCCACTGTGTGTCAATGAAATGTCATTTTTTCACTGCAGCTTATATCACTTCTCCGACAATTGGGAAATGCAAATGATGATAAACAGAGAAGTCTTAAGTGGTAGAGAATTTATTTTATGAATCTTATAGTGAAACTTTAAAATCTGAATGCCATACTCAGGGAATGATTGAGAACTAAATGGGCATATTTCTCTATACAAAACACAGAGTGGTCCCTTTACAGCTGTCATATTTAAAGGAACATTGAACTAATGATTAAAGAGGTCAGGAAATATCTTAGCGAAGATTGAATAGCAACTAAATTGTTATTTCCAATCTAGAAATGATTATTGTTTTGTGTTGGTTTAGAAGACTCCATTAGTGTCAATGACTGGAAGTTGCAAGGAAGCTGATTCTGTTCCAACTCAAGGGAAAACATCCTGTGGAACTCAGCTTTTCGTGAGAAATTGTTAGTTCTGATATTAGTGGTATATTAGCAGAGAGATGCTGTGGAAGAGCTTTATAAACTTTGCAGGAGAGGAATCCAGAAACCCTCCATGGGACAGTTTGGCATTGTGGAAATTACCTGAGTTTTTGATGGCAACCAGATTAGGATTCAGATCTTAACATTCCCAACTTGCTGGCTGGCTGGCTGGCTGTTACAGTTTGCTTAACTATTCTGAGCTTCATCTTACCTCCACTGAAAATAGCAATAACCTGCTCAGGGTTGTAGTTAAGAAGAAATGAGGTGATGTATATAAAATTCCTAGCAGAGAAGCATCAAAGAACAAGTGTTTTAGATTTTTCTCAGGAGAACTTCAAAAGAAGATGGAAATGCAATATTCTTCATGACCTTTGTCCCAATTTAAATTAAAAACCAAACTGGTGATGTTGAAGCCAAAAGGAGCTTTGGATTAATCAGACGAATTTATTTTTATTTGGTGGCAAGAGGGGCAGGTGCATTTTTATAGCATTGCTTTTATTTTCCTTTCTTGCAACGAAATCCATCTTCACTTACAATGCTACCTGTGGCTGCCAAATATGACACATGGAACTGTAAACCACCTCACGTAGCGATCAGCCTTAAAATTCCCCATGTTGATTTATTTTCTCCATCCTGTCTTTATTTCTTCTATTTTGCTTGTCATTGTCCTTACTGAGAAGTCTAACTAGGATTTTGTACTACAAATGGCAATGTACTAATTCAGAAGATCTCAGCATAAACTCTGAGTCATCTCAGTTGTCTCTATTACCAAAGTTTTGGGAATTTAGGGGGTCAATAAACAATACTCTTTTCTTCTAGTCTTGCCAAAGCAAATTCTTCTGCAGGGGAGGCTTGAATTGTCCAGCCTTAGCTATGATTGGCTAGAATTATTTGTCAGAATGGACTGTGTAACAAACAACATCAACATTTCAATGCACTAAAGAAAAGGTTTAACTCCAGCTTATATTGCACGTCCAACGAGGCTTGCAAGAGGTGCTCTGCACAGTGTAGGCCCTCGGAGGCTCAACCTGATGTTAAAATTTGAGGACAAATTGATAGAGCGAAATAAGATCCAATAGATGAAGATCAACTCATCACTGTTATTACTGATAAAAGCTGGGTTGAAATATGTAGATTAAGTGAGTGTTCACAGTGGTCTTTTTCACATTTAACCCTCACTTATCTCAGGTAATTGGATAATCTCTCAGCCAAGAGTGAATAGAGTAGTGTCCAGGGGCCGGCCCCGTGGGCCAGTGGTTATGTTTATACATTCCACTGTGGTGGCCCAGGGTTCCACTGGTTCGGATCCTGGGCATGGACCTAGCACCACTCATCAAGCTGTACTGAGGCTGCATCCCACATAGCTCAACTAGAAGGTCCTACAACTAGAATATACAACTATGTGCTGGGGGGCTTTGGGGAGCAGAAAGAAAGAAGAGGAAGATTGGCAACAGACATTAGCTCAGGGCCGATCTTTAAAAAAAATAAAAAATAAATAAAATAGTATCCATGAGGTGCTGCCTCAGAATAAAATGTTGTACAGCCCTTATAAAGATAAGGATATCAATAACAGCCATAAATTATTGAGGATGAAATTCCAGACTCTGCAAAACAATTTACATGTAATTTCTCATTTAGTCTTCAACATGTAGATATCATATTTCTCCCCATTTTTCAGAAACGGGAAACTTTTCTCAGAGGAAGAGCTACTGGTTCAACTTTAGAGATTTGGTAAGTTTTAGAGTATGGTAGTAAATAAATACATACATTATAAATAAGGACACATATTAAAATAATACTAATGGTTTAGAAATGTGTGGATATTTAAAATTTATGATGTGATTTTACTTGCAACTTCCCATCTGAATGAGATTCTGTACTTTTCTGGGAGGTGAACAGGGTGGGAAATGTTGTATTCAGTTCACAGGACAGGAAATCATAACTAATATTAATGTAGCACTTTGCAATTTACAGGGCATCCTCACATACACCACCTCACTTAATTTTTACAACCTGAGGAGAAGGAAATGCCCAGAGAAGAGGAAAGGATAGGAGAGTGGAGATCTGTACCACTTTTCATTTGATAACTCATATCCCTTCGGCAAGTTTAAGTGAGTTATCTCCTTGTTCAAGAGGAACCTCCATTCCCATGGAATCATGTGTCTATGATGGGACTTTTGCTTGAATAACTCACAGGCTTTGTCTTCTTCTTTACTCCTTCAGGGAGGAGTGGCTTATTTAACTGGTGAATTTTGGAGAAGAAGTGGAGAATGCTTACTTTCAGTCCTTCCTAAAATTACTACTGGCACTACCTACATGTTGGCCTGCTCTCTGGTATGTGATGAGCTTGGCACTGCAAATTCTTCTGTGTAGAAGGCTTGGAGATTTTTAGTTTAGTTTATAACTGATTAGATTAACAGTTAAGATTGCTGGGTTATGCTGGGTAAGAAACGCCATCCACATTTCAGTGGACTGAAAAAAAGGTTTAATTCCTGCTCATGTTGCACAACAGTGGTGGGCAGAAGCTCAGCCTGATGGGGATGTAATCTCAGCAATTTCCCCCTATGATTGCCAAGGCAGAAAAATGAAATGTGTCAAATCACATAATGGCTCATAAAACCTCCACCTTTCATTGACACATGGCACTCCCATTCACACTTCACTGGCCAAAGCAAGTCACTTGGCATGCCTGATTCCAAAGTGGGCAAAAAAAAATGCAATCCTCCCTTGTACCTAGATAAAGAAACTACTACACATGTTTGGTGAATAGCACAATGACTTCCATGGTGGATCAAGGTAAAGTCTACAATTCAAAGGTTTTAGTATATTCAGAGTTATGCAACCTCACCACAATCAATTTTAGAACATTTTCATCACCCCCAAAAGAAACCCATACCCATTAGCAATGAATCGGAATCCTTTTGATTAAAAAAAACTGATCAGAATAAAAAAAGAAAAATGAAACATTTTATTTGTAAAATACATTAGATTTTATAAACAACAAGATATGAATTAAGAAAGAAGCAGCATTTAGTTCTTTTGAGTTAGAGAAGTGATTTTTAGGTTCTCAGGAGAGTGGGGACTGGGGATGTGTGTTCTCCTTTGTGTTTGGTTTTTCCGTAGATTAGAGATCTTCTGGCATTGTGACTTTTGGCTCTTCTAAGTTATTCTCTGCTTCTGTTTTCTCCTAAAACAGTACTTTGTACTCATATTTTTCTCCTAATCTTCCATGTTCTTCTTTTTTTCCTCTTTATCACATTGCAATATTAAATTATTAGCACGACAGCTTAAATGAATTTACATAATACCTGTTAGTAAAACTAATATTAATACTATCAACCTATATATGTGCAATTACCTGTATTTAGACAAAGTGCCATCACAAAACTTGGCTCAATATAACTTCACGATAAGTCTGTAAGATACCTATAATTATCTGAATTTTACAAATGAGAAAATAACACTCAGTGGTAGAAGTAGGACCTAAAATCGGATTTATTGATTCCATGCTCAAGGGTCTTTTTCATACTGCTTTTAGTGTATCATTCCTTGTGGAATTGCTAAAGAAATAGGGAAGACATAATCAGCCGTATATGTCTGCATCCCAATGGTAAACTGACTGACGTTATTCAATATTTATCATTAAATCGATAGTGATTGACTGATGGAGGATCATGGATTCTTTTCTCAGGAATATTAAGAGAAATTCTTAGAGTAGAAATAATGTGCTCAGAGCAGAGCCAGGAATCATGAGAAACTTCACATCAAGGCACATAAATAAGCTATTGGTGAAAAACTAGTCAGGCACTAGGAAGACACAGTCCAAAGAGGAAATGGAGCAATATGCCAGAAAGATGGTCAGGATTATAGAAATTTTCCTGAAACCAGAGAATGGGACAAGGCAGGAAAGATGAGAGGTAAACACGAGGGAGACTGCAATTCTGAGACAAACTCCAGAAGCACAATATCGGTTGGGCAATGAGCATGGGTTCTTAGTTAGAAATATATATATTTTAAATATAGCTTTGATGCTTATTAGTTACTTGGCTTTGGGCAAATTTCTCAACTCTTCTGAGTCTCAGTTTCTTTGTTGTTAAAGTGGGAATAATAACATTTATTTCAAAGTTGTATTGTGTTCCATGACGACACCAATTAGATACCCTAACTATGTGAGTCCATAGCATTCCACAGTTCACATAATAATAATTGTCATCACTTTTACCCATCTCCATAATCTAAACTGGCAGTGACTGTGTCTTGCTTGGTATTGCTGCATCTGCAACACTTCCTGGCAAATAAAAGTCATTGACGAATTTTTATAAAAATGACATTGATTAAAATAACATGGATGAAGTACATGGCATATAGTAGGCTGTTAACAAATGTTGGATTTATTTTTCCCTAGAGTAGATTTCAGCAAACTTTTTCTGTAAAGAACCAGATAGTAACTATTTTAGACTTTGCAGCCCATACAATCTCTGTCAAAACTTCTCAGCTCTGCTGTTGCAGTATGAAAACAGCCATAGATAATATGTATATGAATGAGCATGATTATGTTCTGATAAAACTTTATTTACAAAAACAGGCAGAGGGCCTGATTTGGCCCTATAGCCATTGTTTACCAACCCCTGCTCCAGAGAAGATATTTACATATTACCTGCTGTAGCAAGGGTTACTTTTAAAACTTCTGATTAGAAAGCACTGCCAGGAAAGAGGTTCAATATGGCTAAAAAAAAGTGAGCAATAAATGATTACCCAATCTAATAAAGTTTTGCTCTACATGCACCCTCTCCAAACTTATCCATACTTCTCTTCCTCTACATAATGCATTTCACTCTCTTAATTTCCATAGCAAAACTTTTTCCTCATAGGTAGTGACAAAGGAGACTTCAACTCAATTCAAGTTTAACCATTTTGAATAAATAAAATACATATGGATTTGTAAGCTTCAGCTGTATAATTATAATTGGCATGGAAACATTTTCTTTTCATTGTTTTTATTGAAAATAAGTGGTATTGGGTTGTACACTCTCAAATTGCTTCCCATTATCATATTAGAAACGTCTTTTGCTGCAATTATAAGTAAAAAGCTTCCATTTATCATCCTAACAATCTCTTTCATTACATCTTATTTTTTTCTTTTTTGAGTCTCTGGATCCAGTTGGAAGCCATGTTGAAACACATAAGTTGTGCAAAATGAAAGATAATAATATCTATAACTTGTGCCTTTTAATAATAAATAAAATAATAAAAATAAGATAATAATAAAAGAACTGCCATGCATTGATTGCCTAATATGTGCCAGAATCAGTGCAGCGCATTTACATACATTTGCTGACTCAGTCCTGAGATGGGCAGTCATTTCCATTCTACATGGCAGAAAGCAGTGACTCAAGAGGTAGTTTACCCAAAGTTACAGGACTGGAATCTAGATTTTCAAATCTCAAAATTTTATTACTTAAAAAAAAACTCCATCACATCTTTCCAAATCTGCTCTGGATGCCCTATTTGAATATACATCATGAGAAAATAACAGTAATCTTCAGCTTTTATATATAGTCCTTTTAGAACTTTGAGTTTTGTCTCATTTAATCCTTACATCAACCTTATCAGTTGAGTACCATGATGGAAGTGCAGAATCTTGGGCCACATCCCAGACATACTGAATTAGAATTTAATTTTTAACAAAATCCATAGGTAATCTGTATTCACATTAAAATTCACTGAGTTAGATAATATCACTCTTCTTTTACAGATCAAAATCCTGAAAAATAGAGTTTCTGGACTTAGATTGTAAAGGTCTTCTCAAATTTTGTCAAGAAATTGAAACAGTACGCATAGAAAATGTAGAGGGGCTGCTAAGTATTACCAGCTCTCTGCTTCAGAAAGCTCACTCTAGCAGCAGTGGGAGAATCTACCGGAGGAGAAAATACCTAAAATTCCTTAACAGAAGCCTAACCTAGAACAAAGGAGAACCTAAGAACTTGTCTACTTTTTTTTCCTCTCCTGGGGTCGGGAAACATCAATCCATTCTAAAGAAGGCCTCTGGTTACAGGAAAATTCTGTTACCTGTGAATGCCAGCATCCACTTTTCAAGATAACCATTATTTCATATACCAAATATCAAGTTGACTAAAAATAGTTAAACACAGATAATTTCTTCACGTGAGGAACATTCTTACACATTCAGGAATAATCCTCCTTTGAAGAATGTTTTTCTACCACATGATCATAATACATGTGGGATGTATCATCTAGAGAAGAGGATTAATATCCAGTATCTTCTTCTCTTGCCTTCACTCTCCTCTGATATTCTATTTTTTCATCCCTTCTTGTTTTCTTTTCTCCATTCTCCCCCACTCTCATTCACTCCCCCTATTTCTGTCTATACACAGAATTTTACATCATCCTTCTGATGCTGGCCACCCAATTCCATTTCTTTATAATAATACAGTGTGCAACTTTAAAAGGAGAAGAAATAATAATAGATTTCTGAGCAGTTAAAAAATTGGTACCTCAATACCTGCGCAGTAATGTCTACACATTTTCTTCATAGTAAAGAAGATCTTCAGATCCTATTTATTCTCACTTTTCTTTTAAGTAAGTGGACTATATTCGTGTCTTTGTTTTTTCATTGTTATAGAAGGTAAGTAGGGTCAGCATATTTTAAGGGTAGTTTTAAGCAAAGACACAATGAAAGCAGTAAGAAGGACAGCTCAGGGTATGCAACTGTGATGGAAGAAAGAAAAAAATGACACAAAACGAGTAGAACCAGGGAATGATAGCAGAACTTACAACATTCTGAACCTTCTAGAGGGAGGTTGGAATGTTTCAATGTGCCCGTGAGTGTTCATAATGACAATTCTGTTTCATGAAGTAATGATTCAATTATGTGCAAATACGATGCAGTTAGTTTTAAAAAAGGAAATTAGTAAAATAACTGACAGAAGCTGTATCTAAAATGTCAAATTGAAATTTAAAAATAATATTTGTTCTTTAGATACTTATATCTTAGATATTTGGAGAAAAATAAATTTCTACAGAGTAGCATATTCTAGTCCTCAGACATATTGAATAAGAGATTATCATCTTTCTTGAGTACTCCTAAATTTTCAAAGTCTTTCTAAAATATGTATTTTAATTTATCATCAGAGAAACCATTTATGATTGACACAATAGATAACAATGTATCCATTTTACAGATGAAGAAACAGGGGGTAAGAAAGTAAATTGACAAATTTAAAAATGCTAAACACATGGGAACTATTATCATCTAATATTTTGCCCAAAATACCATGTACCATATCAACAATCTAGTTTTATTTTTTCTATCTCTTTGTTTTCTTAATAAGTCTCAAAAACGAGGAAGCTTTTGGAAATGTGACTGGATGACAATAATTAAATAATTAGGTTACTATAATAAAATATGCAGAGAATTATTTTCCATGAAATGAGTTTATTTTATTTGTTGTCTGTGTTTCTGTAGTTTAGCAAAGATTGGGGGGATAACTGTTCATTAAACAATTGTAGACAATCAACTATTGTTGTTAGGTGTGGAGCTATATGAATGAGCAAGATAAAACTTCTGACCTCTAATACCTGACAGCTTATATCAGTGGTTCTCAACAAGGGGGTGATTTCATGCCCCAGGGGACATTTGGCAATAGCTGGAGATGCTTTTGATTGTCATAACTGGCAGTGGTGGGGTGGTGTTGGTGCACCAAGTATCTAGCGGGTAAAGGCCAGGGATGCTGTTAAACATCCTACAATGCATCAGACAGCCCTCCAAAACAAAGACTCATTAGGTCCAAAATGAGAAATCCTAGCTTACATCAGAAGGGCAAATAATTACAAAACAGTGTTCATAGGTCCAGAGCAGACCAC